TTCAAACACTTTATGACATTTTTAATTTACAAATTCAGTGTACGCATTATTTAGCTGCCCCAAAGTCCTGACATTTTTCAGTACGTTGTGTCTGTAATTGATCTTGACAGGAGTTGAGCATGTCATAATTTCAATTTTAAAAACATCTGTACGATGTTTCTGTTTGCTCCAGAGCATTTATGTTTTCTTTGATTGGTTCTTTTGTTAAATTGTGCACAAATACCTATCTTTGTTATTTGTAAATATAATATATATCAACAAACTAGGGTTTAAAACCTTTCAAATAACAGGTTTGTTTTGATAATTATTTTAAGAAATTGAAAATATGTTAGATATTATTCACAGTTTAACATGTTTAAGATTCTAAAAAAATAATATGTCACAGCTATTTTTAAAGGTTGCAAAGGACTAGTAATGAAATGAAAACAAGTGTAAATTTTAAAACAATAACATGTCACAGTTAATTTTACAGTTTCAAAACAGTAGTTATGAAAGAAAAACAAGTGACGGGGAGATAACTTTGGTACGGGAATGTATTCGATAATACATGATCATCTCAACTGTTTGATTTTATGTGCAAAAAAAAAAAAAAAAAAAAAATACAACATCTTAACATCATAACGTGGGAAATCATCAGTTTTTCAAATTCAAGTAAGGTAAACAGATCGTGTTCCATGTTTTGCATTCGTTGCGTTGCTCAGAGTTGTGTACTAAAAGCACAATAATAAAAAGTCAGAGCATTAACCGTAACATATAGTATGTAAAAAGTAGAAATGGTAAGGACACTTTTGTTCCCATGAATTTACAAAGTATTATAAATCTACCAAACAACATCCATCAGATGTTCATAAAACATAAGTCAGTATTTATATTTTTGAATATTGTCTTACATATTGGTATTAGGGCTTCAAGCTTCTATCATTTAATGCAAAATAGATTCATTTTGATATTATTACATTTATATTAAGAAATAAGTAATAGCTATACCAAAAAAAATCTTTTGCTACAAAATGTATTATACAAAGATGATATGCGTGTTTAATATCTTTTTGGGTAAAGCTGTTGCGCATCTATAGTGTGACCAAATCCTAAGCTTTAAATTGCCCTTTTTGGTCAAATACGTAAATTTGGAAATATTTATGATTGTTACAAGATACAGCGATGCAAAAAAAGCGTTTACAGTACATCGCGATTTGTTTATTTCAATACTTTATACAATAGATATAAGAAGATGTGGTATGAGTGCCAATGAGACAACTCTCCATCCAAGTCAAAATTTATAAAAGTAAACCATTATAGGTCACAGTACGGTCTTCAACACGGAGCCTTGGTTCACACCGAACAGTAAGCTTTAAAGGGCCCCAAACATTACTAGTGTAAAACCATTCAAACGGGAAACCCAACGGTCTAATCTATATAAAAAACGAGATACGAGAAACACGTATAAACCACATCAACAAACGACAACTCCTGAACATCAGATTCCTGATTTAGGACAGGTGCAAACAAATGCAGCGGGTTTAAACGTTTTAATGGTACCAAACCTTCACTTTTTTTCTGAAACAATAGTGTAACATCACAACATAGAAAGACATACTATAAAATATCAACTGAAATAGCTTAACTCAATCAAAGGACATATTAACACCATTGAACATACACTGAACAAACAAATTTGACCTATGATACAATGTATATACAAAAAAAAGACTGTATGCAGTTGTTATCAAATAGACCGTTTCTATGTATGTTTGCGTTTGAATTTCACATGAACCTCACAAGAAATTCCCCTCAAACGAGCTTATACATGACAATTTCTATAAATTGATTTTCACATGCTTCTAGCGTGATATTTTTCACGTGAACATTTAAAAATGTATTTTTTATGATTTTAATTAATTGAAAGGTTAAGATGTTATTTAAAATACTTTATTTTAAACCATTCGTGTGAATTGTACGTGAAAAAAAAGTTGGAATTTAAAGTCACACGGGAAAGTTTTTCGCTGTTATAATACTTTCATACACATAAAGGAATAAATAGTCAACACTGAAACATGTGAGGGTTTTCTGGTGAATAGTCAACACTGAAACATGTGAGGGTTTTCTGGAAGTTGACTTTGCAATAAACAATAAACTATAATAATAATAAAACAGAAAAGTGTCATACTTTTAATTATTGAAAAGAGCATTGGTAGATCGTTGTACAGAAAAAAAGACTGTTTGAATTATTATATATACATAAATAGTAAATAAAATCAATCAATTCTAATGTTAGTGCTTATTGTATAACCCTCTCATAATATTTCAATCCCAGCTTTTGCCGGTTTTTTTAATGTACATGCAGTAAGTATGGCACTTTTCCCTTTTCTCGACTGCTAATAATTTCAGGATGTTGGTTTACTTGCTTGATAACATTTCATTTAAAGTTGCTACTTTCATTTAAACATGTATATGTCATATAAGACGGACATGGTCAGGACATTTTGGTCAGGAGTTAAGACCTTAGATTAGAAGGGTTTTTATCGGCATGTGTTTGTATAAAAAAAAACACAGATTGTGTGTTTTGTTTCTGCAATCATCCAATTGAATAATATATGAATGTATTTACCCTGAAAGCATGTTTATTTGAATAATATCAGTTGAAAGAACAATGGAGAAGAATCTGTTTCTTCTTTTGTTTTTCATAGATGCTTGTTGACTGCACACGAATAAAGCATTATAATTTAACATTTCCTTTCTGTACAAAGAGACAAATAAAGAATAGTTTTGAATTCAGATCGCAATCTGTTTAATTTGATTTCAATTAATTTCGTTTGTATTGGTTAAGAGATATCAGAAAGAAATATGCTATAAATTCATTACATAATATTTGGACGAAAATAATAACATACAATTAGAACAGCACTGTTTCAAAACTTGAGCGTTGGTCTTAGAACACTTGGTCATGTATGAATGAATGAATACTTTATTACAAAAATCATAACATATGCTATAGCAACGACTACATATTTACAATATGACTAATGATAAACAACAGAAAGCAATACATAAAAAGCACAATAAGAAGCAATCAACTTAAAGTAACAATATGTGATCTGATTTACAAAGCAGATTTTATGTAATTACACAATTTCCTTATAAGTAAAACAGACGTTAATTTAAATGAATAGAGTAATTAAGTAATGTTTGGCTAAGAAAAATAAAATTTTTGTATAAAATTACGGCTAATTGATTTGCAGGCAGGGCATACTTATTCACACTACGTAATAAAAACATTTGCATAAACGTAATTCTCTAGCCGTATCAGTATATCATCCTGTTTCCGGGTTCATTTGCTATCAAATAATAAATCACGGCAAGTAAGAAGTGTCAGCTGACCTTGCTGCTTTGACTATACTTTGCTTGTACTGGTTATGGTCTGTGTATAAGGTCAATCTTAAAACTGAAAAGGCTTTTTTAAGTCAAGGTTGTCCCCTGCTGTCAGTTTAAATCTCCTTAAGGATGAACGGAAGATCCTCTCAGTATTACATTTGAGTGTGGAATGGTAAACTTTAAGCATGGTTTTTTATCATTTTTTTTCTTTAACATGTTTAACAATGAAAGGGTTTATTTTTTTCTTTAACATGTTTAACAATGAAAGGGTTTATTTTTACTTTAACATGTTTAACAATGAAAGGGTTTATTTTTTTCTTTAACATGTTTAACAATGAAAGGGTTTATTTTTACTTTAACATGTTTAACAATGAAAGGGTTTATTTTTACTTTAACATGTTTAACAATGAAAGGGTTTATTTTTTCTTTAACATGTTTAACAATGAAAGGGTTTAGTTTTTACTTTAACATGTTTAACAATGAAAGGGTTTTTTTTATTTTCTTTAACATGTTTAACAATGAAAGTGTTAATTTATTTCTTTAACATTTTTAACAATGAAAGGGTTTAGTTTTTACTTGAACATGTTTAACAATGAAAGGGTTTATTTTTACTTTAACATGTTTAACAATGAAAGGGTTTATTTTTACTTTAACATGTTTAACAATGAAAGGGTTTATTTTTACTTTAACATGTTTAACAATGAAAAGGTTTATTTTTACTAAAACATGTTTAACAATGAAAGGGTTTTTTTTTCCTTTAACATGTTTAAGAATGAAAGGGTTTATTTCTACTTTATCATGTTTAACAATTAAAGGGTTTATTTTTTCGCAATCAAATTTGAAAGTCTTATTGTTTTGCATTCTAAAACTTGAATGCCGATCGATTTTTTTTATTCCAATTTTCCATCAATTCCATTTTAATCATCTTTGGACGCTTTTATGACCGTATATTGTTGCAATAACTCATGAGATTCCTGATTCACATAAGTAAACATCAAGTTAAGAATTGAAAGGGGGAATATATCAGAGAGACAACAACCCAACCAAAGAGCAGATAACAGCTGAAGGCCATCAACGGGTCTTCAACGCCTTCAACATGTATAGAGGACAACTGCGACACGTCTTCAACTTCTACACAACTTCTACACGTCTTCAACTTCTACACAACTTCGACACGTCTTTAATTTCTACACGTCTTCAACATGTATAGAAGACAACTTCGATTTATATATGCATCATGATTGATATGGTTGTTTAATAACCTAAAAGTACTCATCGATTTTACTCTGTGTTTAACTTTATCTTTTCGGAATATGTATCATTAAAATTAGAACTCGATATCCACAACCGTATATTTATATTTTGTTGCGAAACTAGAATTAATTATTCAGTTCTTAAAAAGTTAAAATTTCAGTTTATAACGCTTCATTGAATATTAATCAATTATCTATGTCCTTTTAACTGAGTTCTTATTTTCAACTATGTATGATCAATTGGTTGTGCATGACGATTAACAAGCCTTAAAATGGTGTAAATAATTTACATGAGTTTAAAAGTAAGCATTTGTAAATTTCACATACTATTGACCATGCATACTAAAGTTTACTTAATACCGGAAAAACCATTTCATAGACGAATTGTCTGTCATAAAAGATGAGATGGAAGTTTTGATGAAAGGCTTGGCTTTCATAATTTTCGTAACTTTGTACAATCAATATAGATGTTTATTGGAGGAATTTTGTGAACAAGATGACTTCGAGTGCAAGCATCATAACAATATAGATGGTATTGGGTATCTACAACATGACAGAAGTCAGCAATCTAATATACTTCGTCGATTGCAACAGCTCAGTTTGGTGGAATGTGCAAGGGAATGCTTTTTGACATCATGGTGTGTAGCTATGAATTATAGAAAGAATTGGAAGTTATGCGATTTACTTGGTCATCTTACTGCTGGGGAAAATCTGCAGATCGAAGCAGGGAGTATCTATACTAAACGATCAACCTGGTCTAAGGTAAGGTTTCATATTCTTTAAAATGTATCTTGATCTGATATTATATATCATTTTAGATTCAATTATGCAAAGCTTTAACAAAAAAGTAAATTATTCGAATGACAATTCGTTGTCATTTCTATAAAAGGAGCAAATTATTTATGTATGATATATCCATTACCCAATTCAAGATTCAAGATTCAGAAGAGAAAATTATCAAAATAGCTTGAATAATACATATATCCTAAAACACTCCCATAGGTTCTTGAATAAATAATAATACCTACGCCTTATTTTTAGCCTGGATTTTTAGTATTCGTATTGTCATCTGATAAAGTCATGCTGATTATAAGGTGCACAGTTTTCTCTGCTTTCAAAATCTTTTTTTTGAACCCGTTCTGGTTTTCTTACTTCAACCGGAAACTACATGTTACACGTTTGCTTGCGTGTGGATATGAAATTTTAGTAGGTGCGGGTGTTTATTTGTATATAGCGCATTTGTCATCCTACTATGTAAAAGTGGACCGATAGAGAACGGCGATTCATACCTGTAGAAAGAGATACATACTATTGATATCGGTATCGGATTCGACCCGGAACTTATTATTGGTAATATTAATTATGTGGAAAACAAAAAAGCCTGAATTTTTAATCAACACCATTATCCTATGTTAGTTATAAAGTTGAATTTTTTTATTCTTCGATTTTATGTCATGCCGGTTTACAAATTGGACCTCGTTATTTTAGTAGTATAGATATTCGCCTGAAAAATATCAAATTTGTTGTTTAAAATATCACTACCTTTGTAATTGCTTTATCTGTATATGTGTTTATCTTTGTAAAGTCTCTGGCTGGATCATGTGCAGACCACACTTGTTTTGCCGGAGAAAAATGCTCAAAACTAAGAACTGGTGGAAATAACTGTACATCTGTTTGTAAGTGATAATAACACCAAAATATTCACACACGTCTATTTTTCAAGAATTGTATGCTCCATTCCCCTTGAAAGTTTTAGTTCGATTATTTTCTAAAGGAAGTTCATGTCTTTATAATACTACTATCTCAATCTGAAAGAAGATCTATAAAAAAAAATTGTGCGCGTTGATTTGAAAGACATAATTGGATACTGATGTCATAATTTAAAAAAGAATTATTTGAACTTTCTATAAATCTCCAACTTTTTTATGTTCATTTTCAGATTGTAAGGATCCTATCCCGATAACAGATAAATCTGTTTGTATTGAAACGTTTGGCTTATATAGAAATCTGAAAGCTGGAAATCAATTTGAATGTAAAGCAGGATATTTCATGATAGGACGTCCCTTCATAGTATGTAATGAGAAGGGAAAATGGAATAAGATGTTCTCATGCACAGACAACAGTAAGTTTCTAGCACTTATTTGAAAATAGTAAAAATGTATGCTAAAATAATATAACAAAAGGGATGAAAGTAAATCCTTGCTGTTGAAATGCATTTCACTTCTAGTTTACTAAACAAACTTCAAATGTACTTTCTAATATGGATACAAGGCTTAAATAACAAATATCTAAATTATTAACTAGAAATACCAAATGCATGTCATAGACAAAACAGGAGAATATACATCAGTATATGTATAAGTAAATGCTAGAAAACTGATAAAGCTGGGTGTGTCCTTGATCATAATATGAAATAACTATGTATCGATAGGCAACTTCATGGTTAGTTCGGCCATATTGAATAGGGGACAGATGTTCATAATGGAGGTAGAAATGGTCTGAAAAATACGGGAAAACCTCATTAAATCTGAGCAGTAATTGGAAACATGCATAGGATTTCCCGTACTATCACACTATGTCCACCTCTTTCCAAAAAATTGCCCCTATTGAATATGGCCGAACAAACCGTGAAGTTGCCTATCGATACATAGTTATTTCATATTATGATCAAGGGGCCTATTCGATTAAAGAGATCGGGATATGAAGCATAGGAATACATGACATGCAAACACAGTTTTGGCTGTCGGATCATAGTTAATGTTGCGTTTGCCAATTCTGTCTGTTCCGATTGCTCACTCAATTTTGTCAACATAGCATGTATAACTGATCTATAGACAGATGTCATATAACTGGGATCAAGCTAGCTATGAAATCAGGTTTCGTCAGAAAAATGCCTGTACTCAGTCAGGAATATTACAGTTGCTTTCCATTTCTTCATATACGGTTGATATAGTCGATTGTTTGTTCTTGTCAGGTTTCATGAACTTCTACCTTTCTAAAATTCCAATTAATATTTTTTTAAATATAGGTTTATAAGTAACAGGTCTGTTTCAACATATCTGAACGTGAAACTAATGATATTGGCTAAATGATTGTATTGAGTATAAAGACTATCGTATTGTTTTGGTTCATTTGTATGTTTCTGAGTTAAGTGCGACGTTCATTTTCGTTGAACTAGTATACATTACTGTTTACGTGCCAGCTGAAGCCCCTTCCGGTTGCAGGGTTTTTTCATTGTGTTGAAGACTCATTTGGCGACCTTTGGCTGTGTTCTGCTCTTTTGTCGGGTTGTCTCTTTAAAGATTCACTGTTTCTATACTCAATTTATTGTTATTCACTCGTTGTAAGAAGTTTATTGGCAAGTACCGAAAGCTGGTTAATTTTCAAAAGCACAAATATAACATTATCTATTAAAACCTAAGACAAGGACAACGTACCAGTATATCATAATTTTCCTGTTTTTACTAAAAAAAATTCTAAAAATCAACAAAAAATTCACCAAAATAAACATGTTTTATAGAATTTGTACCACGTGACTGTAACGACTTTTCACAAGGAAGTGTATCAGGAGTTTATACAATTTATCCAAAAGATACAAAATTTGATGTTTACTGTGACATGGAAACAGCAGGATTTGGATGGACGGTAAGTTAAGTGAAGATGTAAACTTACTATTGTTATAGGTACAGATAACAAATATGGTATGGTCTTCAACCTCGTTCTTTATTTGGTCTTTTTGTTTTTTTATTCGAGCGTCGAAGATGAGTCTTTTGGACCCGAAACGCGCGTCAGATGTACAACATTGCAATTTAGGCATCCAGGCATGATGCGTTATTTGTACAATGTTTGATGTTTACTGTAACATGGACACAGCAGGATGTGATTGTAACTGAAATGATTACTTTTAGCTTTTGTATGAATCATACAAATAATACATGGTATATGTCAAACACGTGAAAATGAGTTAACCTTCATCGGGTGTGTGCGTACCAAAGAATGTGCATCTAATTTGCTGGAATGCTAAACTATAGCACGCAATTGTACTTATTTTTTTGTACTGAATTCATTGTTTAGGTATTATTATTATGATTGTTGTGGTAAACAGTACATCAACAAAGGTATACATATACCATTGTTATAATAATTAAAAGAACGGAATTTCATACACTTTTTACCCTCAACAGGTATGTTTGATTGATTTTGTTGAATCAATGTTTATGATTTGAGAAGAATGATATAGGTATTTAACTAGACCATTATGTATTGAATATTCCGATTTCCCGTTTCGATTTATTTATTTAACTATTATTTTTACAATTATTATCATTATTATTATTATTATTATTATTATTACTATTATTATTATTATTATTATCGTTACTATTATTATGATCATTATGATTTAGAAATAATATTTTTAAAAAGAACAGGATGCTGATTTATGAGATAAGTCGTGAAATACCTTTTGATTTGTTCTAATTCCCCCCGCCTGATCTTTTATTTTTCATTCCTTGGTCCACCAAAAAAACGTGGGATGAATATTACAGGTCAAGATTATTTTTTATTTAAGATTTTTGCCTCTTATCGATTCTCCTGACCAACTGTATGAGATATCAAAAAAAATATTTGTACTCAATTGTAAGTTGCGATATTTCTGTCGGAAGGGTATCTTGCGAATACATGGGAATATTCCATATGGGTATTATTTTAGTACGTTTTCCCTTTATGAGTTGGATTTCAAATAAAAAAGCATATACACCCGATGAAAAATGACATACACCGCACTGAAAGTCGCTTGCTTTTACGGGTATAATTATGTTAAAATCGTTTGATGACAATTGGTTTTGGTAAATAGTTGTCATTAAATATATTTCTCTCAACTTTCTTTTGCTTCGGTAAATATGTGGTATAATTGACTTTTGACAGTTGGCCTTAGTGAATATAATTTTTTCAAAAGTCAATAAAACAACATATATACCTCATCAAAAACAATAATTGTATATTATTCTATATTGGCATTATTTTAGTACGATTTCCCTTTAGGAATTGGATTTTGAATAAAAAGATATATTCACCTAAAGAAAAGTGATATTCTACGCGAGGAACGTTACGCCCTTTTACATGAAACGTTATGGTAAAATGTTTGATAAACAATTGGTTTTTTGTTAATATTTGACATCAAATACATTGTTTTCTCTTGCAAAATGGAATAAAGCAATAATTTTTGATTCGGTAAATATGTGGTTGAATCGTCGGCCATTGTGAAAATCAGTTTTCAAAAGTCAATGAAACTGCATGTTAACCTCATCAAAAGACAGTAATTTTATAGTGTTCCCCCCTTTGAGATTTACATTCAATCATATATTTCTGGAATCAGCATAACGTTGGGTATTGTCTTAAACCGAAAGTGCATTTTGAATGTAAAGATTTATAATTGTTTTCCGAATAGGTGTTTTTTTTTTTTATCAACTTTATTATTGAAATGTCAATATTACAATTCGTTCTCCTGATAAGATCAAGATTTCTGTTTATAGCTCAATACGGAAAACACATACCTTTTTATCATTAACAACACAAAGGGTATGCATTATGCATATCTTATTTATGCCAAAAATATAGATTCATCGCAGAAGTAAATCATGTCTTGTAATTATCATTTCGCTACTAATGTTTCGTGCGAAAAGTTGTTTCTTTTTTTTCGAGTTATCCACCTTTAATCACCACTTCGTTATGCATCTAAAGTTTTGCTTGACTTATTGCTGTTTTTCCTCGAGTTATCTGCCTTTGATCATCATTTCGCTATGCACCGAAAGTTTCGTGAGAATTATTTTTGTTTTCCGAGTTATCTGCTTTGATTTGTTGATAATTCAGATTTTAAATTGAAGACACTTTACTCAAAAGAGTGTCCGCATTTAAAACAATATAAAGGATTTGTCCTCATTTGTCAATTAAAAAAAAATGTCATTTATAATTGTTTTTGCTTATAGGTTTTCCAAAGGAGAATAAATGGCACTATCGATTTTTACAGAGGATGGTCTGATTACGAGGATGGATTTGGAAATTTGATATCAGAATTTTGGCTAGGTATTTTTTATTTTTTTTTTATATTTTCAAAAAAAATCGAAAAAAGTAGGCTATATGGTACGTCATTGTCCGTCTGCCTTTCATCTGTATATAAATTTGTCCTCAACACTTCGTTAGATAACTCAAATTTGCTTATGTAATTTCAAAACAACATTATAATTGACGGCGAAAGCTCCATTTCGATTTAATTTTGTTTTGCTTTGTCGTTCCAGAGTTACGGTTTTAATCGTTTAAATTCAGGCAATCTTTTTTCACCGCACCAGTATGCTTGATTGAATTCCTCAAACCTTTACATTATTTAGGATTGATAAAGAAAATATCCGTTCTGATCACGATTTCAGGACTTTGACAGTTATATTTAATCAACATTTCTCGTTTTGTTCCGTAAATTGAATGTGCTGGGACTGAATTACTGACAGTTTTAATTTGTGAACATAAATCACCGTTTGCTTAATGCAAAATACGATACATCATCCAAGAGTTAGGAGACTTTGACAGTCAGATAAATAAAAGGCATATTTTATATTTCATGCACTAGATATAGTGAGCTTGGAACAAATTATTTCGCAATTAACACATGGAAACTTGATTTTGAAATTTTCTTGCTTTGGCATTTTAGAGTTATGGGACTTTAAGCAGTTATAATTGACACAATACGTATATGCCTATCAGTATCCTCATTATTTGACAGAGTCATTGTATGTTCTTCTGATTAAAAGGCTTTTGAATATCCCATTTTTTTTTACAACTATTTTAAGATGTAAAACAAGGGAGAAGCATACGCTCTTGTCACAACTGTTTATTAAGTTTATGTATCAAGTTTTGTTACAATATTTTTTTACAAATCATTGTCCCGAATAAAAAGTAAGAAGATGTTAAATAAATGCCAAAAAAAAACTACTTATGAACGGTAAAAGGAAAATGTTGCAACCAATTACCGGTCACAGTTAAGCCGCTAATAATTAGGGAAAACATCAATCAATCAATCAATCAATCAATAATTAAGAAAACCATGACCGTTTAGTCATTTATAAAATACTCGGGATGAAAAACGTAAGATAACTCAAATGAGGACATCATCGGTCTTATTCATACCACCCCAATAGACAAAACATATGTGACAAAGAGGAACCAAGCACATCCACTGAATAAAGGACTATAATATTGATGATAATACAAACTCAGCTGTATATTCCATCAAAGGATGTTCGCTCCTGTTGTCGCTACTGTTGTTTTTGACTTTTTGTTAGATATTCGGAATCCTCTGGTTTTATTTATGTACTGCCATTGAAAATTTTGCCCACTAACACCTGCTTTTCTTTAAATAATTTATTACATACTGTTTAAAAAGCCATATTTGAAGATCTTATAAAATCATTGTATTTTTTCTTCTTTTTTGAAAGGAAAAAGATGGCAATGTTAAATGTATGAAAAATTTAAGAGAACATCACTTACCGACAAATTTTGAACGGCTGATATCTCGAAAACAAGCGCACGAACCTTTTATTTTTTTCTGCTTTTTTAGTTCCTTTATTCATATACTTTCAATTTATAACAGTCGTTTAAAAAGCTTGTTATTTTGAAAGAGAGTAGCGAACGTCCTTAACATTAAGCTTTACTGTTATTTTCCTAACTTTAACAATAATCTTTTTGTTTGATAATTTTCTATTATAAGCTAGGCTAAGAATGTTATCCTTTCAGTCGTGTAGCAAAATACATTCCGCAAGACAAGAGCGACCAAGCCGACGAAATATCTCAGCTACATCTCATCTCAGGGCTATTTCTCTTCGGTGAAATAGTCCCTCTTGTTTTCAAAGTCATAGATAAGCGATAAAACAAAATCAGTTCAGTTTAATGAATTTGTTTCCCTTTTGAACAGGAAATAAGTATATGCATCATCTCACATCAACTGCAAATTACAAGCTTTACATTCACCTTGAAGATTTTGAAGGGAATTCACGATACGCAGAGTACAGCGAATTCAGTATAGGAGATGCTGCCACCAATTATATTTTGAATGTCGAAGGATATAGCGGAAATGCAGGTAAAGATAATAATTTACACCTGACCCTTACATCTAGAATTTGATAAGGATGGTCTGTTGAAAACAAATCTTTACGAAGAAAGATTTTAGTTGCCAAATTGTGAACTTTTAATTTTTATGTACCAACATTTAAGCGGCGGTTGTGTATGGAGTATATATCTCCCAGTTGATACGATATTCAAGGATATGTATTTCCTATCATGATTTCCCCTATAGAGGTTTGCTGCTCATAAGAAAGCTATTGAACAAAGAATTTCAAAGAGTAATGTTAAAATCGTTCCTTTGTAAATTTTACGGACGCCTTCCCGTCCCTTTCCCCCCGATTGTGACCTACCGAATTAGACATATCACCGGTTTTGTACTAACTTGAGCAACACGATAGGTGCCATATGTGGAGCAGGATCTGCTTACCCTTCTGAGCACCTTTACTCACCCCCCCCCCCCCCCATCCCCCCACCCCCACCCCCCCACCCCCCCCCCCCCCCCCCACCCCCCACCCCCTGTTTTCGGTGGGTTTCGTGTTGCTCAGTCTTTGATTTTCTTTTTCTATGTAGTGTTTGATGTACTGTTGTTTGTCAGCTTGTCTTTTTCATATTTAGCCATGGCGTTGTCAGTTAATTTTTGACTTATGATTTTGAATGTCTCTTTGATATCCTTCGCCTCTCTTTTGCGACCAATCAACCTGCAAACATATAATGTTCTTATTTATTCATTTGAAGACAAAAAACCTGTAGCACACTATCCTCAGGCAAAGTTGACCTTAGATGGATTTTGCTATTTTTAAGTTCTTTTTGGGTAATTCAACTTCAACTGTTTCGGTTTTTATATATCTTTGGCTTTCAAATATTCGGCTTTGAGCGTTCCTAATAAGGGTAATCAAGAAAAGTGCTTCGGACGCATGACATGTACTTCGTGTGGTTTTCGGTTTTTTTTTTTTTTTTTGTCACTGTCTTAAACTTCTACAAACTTCGCTTGAATTTAATCTTATCCGTATTCATTCAGATTGTACAATATGTTTTGAATGACTTTAAAGAAAGTGTCAATCGATTAGTATCACTACTTAAGAGTAATAATGGAAAATATAAGAACATGAAATATCGGTAGGGTTGGTTGAACTCGATAGCATTGTATAAAAACTCATACCACATCTTCTTATATCTATTAGATCGTTGAACTCCTCCAAAATTTTTCAATTAGGCTATCGAATTTGTTATCATTTAATATATCGTGGTTATTTCTTGATATATCTGGTATATTGTGTACTAGTGAGAGATTTAGCTAGCTATAAAACCAGGTTTAATCCAACGTTTTCGACAAAAAAGAAATGCCTGTACAAAGGCAAAAAAATTGCAGTTATTTCTATTTGCTTGATGTGTTTATGCTTTTTTATTTTGCAATTTGATAAATAAAGTTCCGTTTTGAATTTTCCTAGGAGTTTGGTATATTTGTTTTTTTTACATTTTTGTACGATTTGCAACCAGAAAACACATCTCTTGTCAGTGGAGATACAGACATGTTGTATCGGTCAAGCAATTTAAATAGCGTACTGCAAAATTTACGGAGTGTTAATTAATTCCATCTTTATCGTAATTCTGTTGGAGCAATGTTTGTGTTAAGATCACATCCATGTTTGTGTAATTAAAACATCCAACTTGTGATGTAAGCATTGATATTCACGTGTATGTAAACGCCTAGCAATAAGACAGAGAGTATATAACTTCAAATCGGGAATCTACATATCAAAAAAGTCCTATCGTCAAGATTCAAACAGATCCTAGTTTAAATTCATCCTTCTCTGTTAATTTCAAACAACACACTTATATATGAGGCAACCCTGGTGGGTTTTGGATTCGAATATAAAGTTTACTGGAATAAATGAGATGTAAGCAATTTCCAAAATGTGTGAAACTCAGTAAGTCACAAAACATGGACAATATATTTGAACGTTCACGTTGTACTCTGCAATTGTTTCTTTTTGGATCTTTCGCTGTTTATGAAACTGTCATCACTCGCAAAATGTAAGCAATCTGTCAATAATCATCACAAATTGTCCAATGTAATGTTTGGAAGCATGGTATTGTTAAAGTTAGTGAAATTTTTTTTTTTAATTTAATTTTAAATATAAGATAGTACGATGTTACATAATTAGCAGGTCAAATATTTTGAGCTAGCTTTGGGTAACTACAAGCATTCATTTGTAATGTATGATTTTAATTTACTGTTTCAAAATCTTAAGGACCATTAGTAAACTCATTATTCGTATCCCAAGATGAAAACTACGTCGCGTCATTGGTAGAATTTTAATTGTTTTGGACGTCTATGGTAGCCAATCAAAGATTTTTGGTGTACTCTTTTGAAAATATTACCCAGAATGCATTAGAATTTAAAACGGCGAATTCGTGTTGTGTACTTGTGCTTCCGTTTTATAATTGATCGTTATATGAAAGTGGTGCATTTTTAATAGTCATGTTTTTGTATAAAAATAAAAGGACTTTTGGAGAAATATAGGTGAAAAATTAAAACAAAATACCGAACTCCAAGGTAAATTCAAAAGGATTCCAACTTCCTACTAGCACTTATATATAAAATGCATTTGGGATACATTAATCTTTGAAAAATTAAGGATATTTGGCATTCATTTCACTTTTCTGAAATTCGCAAAATTTTGAAAATTCTCAAGTACAAGTGAAAGACAACTTCAGAATATACTACTACTACCAATAGAAACAAAGATCGTATATTGATGCTTCATAGTTTTATAAACTTTTAGATTTTTAAAGTTGAGTGACTTAAACGATGTCCTAATATTCTATCTTTTTTCTTTTACCTTGATAAATTATTTAGCACTTCACACGTTATTTATATTTATTGTTTCTTCTTTCCAGGAGATAGCCTGTCGTATCCTGGTGACCAAAACCACAACGGTATGATGTTTTCCACCATAGACAGAGATAACGACAGATATCAAGACAACTGTGCAGCAAGGTTTAAGGGAGCATGGTGGTACAATGCATGTCATCTAGCTAATTTGAATAGAGAATATTTAGGAGGACAGTACTCCTCTGAAGCCAATGGGATCGTATGGGAGAAATGGAAAGGATATCAGTATTCACTAAAAACTACTAAAATTATGATTAAACGACACTAAGAGACGTTTTATGGCTTCAAATTTATATATTCGAAAGAAAACAAATTACGCTTTCTTAAAGTGGTCAATGCACGTATTTTCAAAAGAAGCGCAAACCGTTTAGCAGATTCCTTGAGTCGTTTTCACTAAAAAAACTTACGACTAAGATTGGTTTTAAGCCATGAACAATTCACTATACTTACGATCAATCTTAGTCGTAAGCTTTTTTGTGAAACCGACTCCTTGTGTAGATATAAGTTTCAAGTTGAAATTACATTGCAATTTTTGCTACCGGAACTGGCAGGTTTCAACCAGTTTTATGAGTTGTGAACATGTTTCATAATTTAAAAGAAATTCAAAATAGTACATTTACAGTACATGTGAAGAAAATTTCAATATTTATTTCAAATATAAGAACAACAGAAGAAGTGCTTAAACCATTTTGTTTCTTTATCGACGAAGTGTCATATAATCTAATTCTGATAAATTCAGTTCAAAATTGAAATAATTTCTTTTTAGTAAATAATTTGTCAGGAATATTTAATATTCGTTATCAAATTATCTCACATAGCCTGAAATATAACTATAGCAAAAAAATAAAAAATCGAACACCTTCAAAAACACAGACACGTCATATCGGTCCGAGACTATAATTCCATAGTGTATGACAATTACTAAAGGTGGCTGACGCAAGGCAATATTTAAAGTATCAATTAAAGACTTGGGATCTTACGCTAGCAAATATTAGTACAATATGATACAAATAGTTTTAGGTCACTGAGTTATAATATATAATCCATATCCTTCTGATATCAAAATTAATTAAAATTCATATCAACAGTAGAAAATAGTGTTGTGTTAGTGTTCCTCATCTTCAGTTTTCAATGTAATAATTCTGCACTGTTGTTTGTTTTTACTGTTTTTTTTTGTTTTTTTTTTTTTGCGGGGGGGGGGGGGGGGGGGGTTGTAATGGTATTCCCGGTGTTTTTCAAACATTGCAGCTCTGAAAATTACCGATGTCAATTAGGAAAGCAAAACAGAAAGCTCAATACATTTATTCGAAATTATTGAGAAAAATGAATTATACATTTATTCATCTGAAATGAACGGAAATATATATATAATAAATGTGTTTGACCAATGTCAGAATGCTCGCAGAAAAATACTCAAGACCAGACGATATGTTAAACTTTTTTATGCATCCTCTTTTAAATATGTGCAGCCTGGCAGAAAAGACGGATCTTTTAAATATTAATGTGTATAAAAAGGACCGTGTAATAGTTGTCCTCTTCACTATAAATCAAACGTTCTGTTTTAATTGACATATATTATATAATTCTTCTGAATTTAAACTTAAACTAATTTACGAATAAAATGCTTCTTGTTATAATTTTTTTTGGTTGTAAAGGTATTGACCGAATCATATTTTTTGTGCACACGATCAACGCTTTCACAACATTATAAATTCATTATAAGAAGCATTCAATTCATTTAATTTTATTTGTATACACTACAGCAATGACATTGTTTTCTTCACTAAAAATCAAGTATATGTTTTAATTGACATTTACAAATAATTCTTCAGGAGTTTAAACTTAATTAAACTAATTTATGAATTGAACGCTTCTTTTTATAATTTTATTGTGTTGTTAAGACATTGACAGAAGCATATTCTGTGTGCGCACGATCAACGTTTTTACAGCACGATCAACACTTTCACAACGCTTTACAATTGGTAAAAGTGAAAGAAGCATTCATTTATTTTATTTATATTTTTATACACTACTATGAAATTAACCTTTTGTTTATTTTTCAGTGCGTTTATTAAACATTGTCACGAAAAGCATGTGCAGTCACAGCTGTTGTATTTTATACGGAAATACATTATATTTGATAATAGTTGTGTCACTAACAACACAATTTCATTTATAATGCACCCAACTAGTATACAACTAAATCATATTTGTTTGTTTTGTTCACACATCATTGTCAATATAATAGAATTGTATGCGACTGTCATACAAGTGAGAGGTTACGCTACCTATAAAACCAGTTTTTTTTTTTGCTTATCAGTTTGAACATGTTGAATGTAACTTTGGTTTCATTCGACTCTCTTTTGCAACCAATCAGCCTTAATTCGAACACATAATGTTTTATTTATTCTTTTGACGACTACTAGCCTGTTGTACACTTTCCTCATGCAAAGTTGACCTTAGATGGATTTGGCTATTTTTAAGTCCTTTTTGGTAATAAAGTTATTCAACTGTTTCGACTCTTTTTTATATTTGGCGTTCAAATATTCGGCTCTGAGCGTCCCTGATAAGGCAAATAAAGAAAAGTGATTTGGACGCCTGAAATTTATTTCGTTTTGTTTTCGTTTATTTTCACTGCCTTAAACTGCTACAATATTCGCTTTAATTAAATCTTAACCGTATTCATTTAGATGTATAATTGGTTTTGAATGACGTAAAAGAAAGAATGAATCGATTAGTACTTGAGTGTAATAATGGAAAATATATATAAGTACATGAAATGTCGGTATGAAAGAGTAAAAGATTAAATCATGAAATAATAATACAGAGTCATATTACACATTTTGATATAACCCATTCTAGTACTTTAAATATTATCAATTTACATAAAAAGTTATAGATTTGAATATGTTTGATTTATTCTCCTTTGTGTAAAGTTCTGTTTTATGTAACATGTACTGACTTATCATGTGAATATTTATTATCTGTTACTATATGTTTTAGGGTCTAAATATTGTGTATTAAAAGAAAGGAACCCTTAGTTCATCTTTTGTCGTATTTGACCAAGAAAATACCCCGTTACATTTGTTAAAAATTATTACAAAATATACAGTTGATTCAAATACACCATCTGCAGAAAGATTGCTATTTGCTGTTTTACGTAAAAATAAATTTTATGTAATCAAAATCAGGTTGAAAAAAACATAATAAAAAAATGCCAACATGTTTGAAGGGAATAATACACGCAGGATTCGTGCTTTTTAGGGGAATGTAGGGATCTAAACTTTGGTATTTAAATGTGTTATTGAGTTTCCAGCCTGTCATTTCTTGTTATTGTGTTTGTTACTTCATGATTATCAGGAAAAGAAATAAAGGACATTATGTATAGATATCAAGCTAGCCCACAAAAAAACTAAATATATAAATAGATAATAACGTAGTTAGTAAGTATATTGATGAAAAGCTGAATTTCAAATATTTCTCTTACAAACATTGGAAACAAGTTTTTGTTGTTGCTTCAACTGCACTAATGTGAATTTTATAGACAAAACGAGCTTCTGGCGTACAAATTTAAGGCTGGTATTAATGAGTTATTTAACAACCACTGCGTCGATGACACTGCTGGTATGGATTTCCTACCCGAGGAAGTCACTAACCCACCAGTCAGCACTTTTGCCTTGACATGAGTTATGACTGATAGGGTCATAATTATAAATTAAATTGCATTCTTACAAATACTACGGATTTTCTACCCCGGGAGTAGATAACCATAGCTGTATTTGACAAAATCTTTCGCAAGGTTCTTTTTATTTCACTGAACTCACTTCAAACAAACTACCTTTCACTGAAGCAATTAGTTAAGAGATTTCACCAATTGATCAATTTGTTGAAGAAGAATTCAAATTGCAATTTGGTAAACTGTTTGAGTTATTGTTATTGTGATACCCCAAAGCCTACTCAATAAGCACAGTTACAAACCTGTTTGTGCATTTTCCATTGTTATTCAAAGCAAAATAATTATCTAAGATACCTGGGACGATTTCATCAAGAATCGCTTTTGTTTACTTATTGTACCTCGAACTTATTAACCCGGTGTAGGTCTTTAAGTTGTGGTTCAATTTACATACAGTCAATCGGGCATGACTAATTAGACACGCCTTCTAAGAATCAGGGGTCCAAAATATGATATGGAAAAAAACAGCCAATGAATTACCATAATTAACAATTTCAGAGCATCAAAGTGCTTTTGGTTGATTTAATATCTCCGGTCAATAATCAAACAGTATTTGAGTGAAAATACAAACCTGTCCAAAACCGGGAAATTTTGAATGCAATAGAAATTTATTTACAGAAAAAGTCCATATCTCATTTACTTATAGTAGCCGTTATTGATTGTAATTTAATGTCGTTTTGTTTTTTGGCATTCGTCTACCGTGGAGAAAACAGGGGGGGGGGGGGGGGGGGTTTGTTGTCGAAAAATGCGTATAAATAATTATAAGCTGAAAACCGTCCTATGACTAAAAAATACTTTATTATTCAATAATATTTACTGTCAAAGATATCACAACAGACACATTTGATTTAATATTATTTACCGTTAAAGATATTCCAACAGGCACAAATGTTTGGTTGAAAAATATCATCTGCCCTTTTTTTAATTTCGATCGGTAAAAAATTAAAGATGTAATATAAACCAGTAGGAGAAAACTCTTCTTTGTATAGTACAATGGTAAAATAAAAGATGATATTGAATGACGTCCAGCGGCAAACTAAATAAATATTCGGCACAATAACATGTAAATATGATATGAGTATTAACCCTGCCTTGTACAAGACCGACACGTTGGGTCGTTTTTTTTAGCGCCTAAGTTAACAAGATATCAATTCGTAGGAGGAAAAGTCACCCTACCCGGAAACATTTCTTCTCACTCCTAAATGCCGATAGATTAGCGTAGAAACAGCAAATGCCAATTTTAACCAATTTGTTTGACCCGGTCGGGAATTTGAACCAACGACCTCCTGCTCTCGAGTGAACACACTCCAACGAAACATACAAAAGAGCGGTAGTACAGAATATCATTCCAAAAACTAATGTACAATAAATACAGATTTACAGAATTCTTACATGTACAGTTACGAAAGCGAGCTAAAAGTATCTAACATAAATTAGATGCGTTAAATGATATTGGAATCTACATTTAAATATGGATGGCCGACATCAGAATAGATTTCATGGATCTACGCTTTCTGCAAATTAGAAACTCTTCCATCAACTATTTAAGGGGTGTGGATGTGGCCGGATGTGGCAAGCTGTTGCACGGCTAAATTTTTGTCTTTATTCAATATACTCTCAAGTCCCAGTAGTATTCCAAGTTACATGTCTAACCAAACTGTCGACCTCGTATTGCAAGATCTACCTATTACATTTAAAATTTATGTCATGAACATGCATGAAATGTTATGGTTTTGCAATTTACTTCATAACTGAACACTTATAAAAAAAAAAAAAATTTATTATGGTTTTTATCAGCTGTTTTATTACGATTTATAGTACATATGATTTTGTCAGGCGATTATAAAACTAAGAAAGGTAAAAGTGTTTTTTTTTCAAGGTAATTGGTTATGCTTTTCATTTAGACGTGCAAAGGGGGAATGACGGACGACTAAAATAAAAGTGTTTGTTATCATATAATACAATCTATTTCAATTTAAGAATGATGATCAAACTTGCGATAATATTTCATATATACACGTTTTGATCGAGCCACTCAAACCTACATAACCTGATGCTAAAGATGTTACATTTAGGTTATTTAATACGATTTCATTCATTGGAGTTTACATGCATAGTTTTTATCTAAATAAAAAACAAACCAAACAAAACACGATTTATTAATTTATTGGACTGAACAGACAACACTTATTATTTTGCATTTGCATTTAACGTAGTGTAGGAAATTTACAGAATCAAAACCAAAATGAACATTTACCTGAATAGTGTGAAGGACCTTGTGTATCTAACTAGTATAGATCTGTTCGATTAGAAGTTATGAAACAAGCTGTTTAAATAGCTGTTGGAAAAGTTAACTTACTATTTTCATTTGATCTGGTCTGTACGAATCTATTGCATGATTACTGACAGATTAAACACATCAAACTTAT